TTATTTAAATGTCTTCAATGATTTTAGAAGGGTTGAAGTCACGTGACCGAGGTGGCCTCTAGACTACAGCAGACGATAGAAGGCAGCCAGTGTACTTTACCCGCCCTCTAGCGGAGCAGTGCATCAATAATAAAGTATTGTTGCACTTTTTTTAACCGTTCACACTTCACCCCCCCCCCCCCCCCCACAGTGCTGTCTGAATTATGTAGACTCACCTGTATAAAAGGTGGCCGGTTAGATGTAATCCAACAACCTATTGAAGATCTGGATAATTTAACAGAAAAATTGATCCTGGGACACAAGACATGAAAGGACGTCCCGACAACTTTCCTTTCATCGACCTTGTTTTGATTGGTTCTGTTGTGTTGGAGGCTATGTTCAGTACACAAACTCAAGGCGTATTTTATCTATTGATTCACATGCACCGTCCCTACCCACGGGACATCTAGTCGGCCATGTTGTGTGAGGGACAAAGGCTATGGAATCTAAACTAGAAAGCAAGTTGGGCTGAGGTCGCAGTCAACATGGTGCATAGCATTTCCTTTTCTTCTTTCTTAAATGTAATAATGGACTGGATTTTCTTCCAACACAATTCGGTATTACGTGTCTACCTGCTATGCGCCATATGCCGTTGTCTCCGATTTCAGCCTGATTTTCTTTTTGCATAACTTGTTGACACGTAATACTTAATTGTGAGGGGGTGTCTCCTTCAACATTATAATTAAGAACAGAAAAGAAATGTTTGCTAGATTAATTGCGAATTTAATTAAAATGTGTTAATTGGTCGTCTTAGTTTAGTTGTAGGACACTTTAATTGCTCAGCTAAAAATTGTTGGTTCCCGCATCGATAAATCCCAAAAAATCAGGTCCCGTTTAGACCAAGTGACTGCCATGGGTTGAGTCAGCTCTGGGAATTTTAGACTTTTGTTAGAGGAAGGTACAGGCTTTGTGCTTACCACGGGGCATTGTGCTGAAGATTAGGCATAGTGCAGAAAAATGGGCACTGTCTCTGACCACTGTCAGTGATGGTGACCACTAGGCATTGTGCAGCTCACTCAATAGCTTGAAGCAAATAAAAAACTCTACTGCATCTACCTTTTGCCCCGTTACGTTCTCACTTCTCTATATAACGCACATAATTACATTTCTCACTTTACTGTATATAGCAAAAAACTAAATTCCCGAAATTATGTTCAAATATTATTTCCCAATAAAAATATCGTGGTGATTGTCGTCTGCTAGTGTCCAATAAGGGACAGTTTGAGGATAGCTGACCCGTGGGTATATTGAGGGGAAAGAATGGAGGGAAGTAATCGAGTATGTCCTCAAGGAGTTACCCGCCCCTGTCATGGCGACCAAAGAAATTCAGCTTTGGCTAGTTTTGTCAGCTGTAAAAAATTCATCAACCTGCCAGCAGCTTTCAACTTATTGGAGAACTGTCGCAGGATCGATGGGGTGTGAGAGTATGGAGGCTAGAACAATACAAGGTCACAGGGAACAATATAAGGTCACGGGGAACAAATCAAGATCAAGGGGAACATACATGGTCACGGGGAACAATACAAGGTCACGGGGAACAATACAAGGTCACAGGGAACAATACAAGGTCACATGGGACAATATTCAAGGTCACGGCGAACAATACAAGGTCACGGGGAACAATACAAGGTCACATGGAACAATATTCAAGGTCACGGGGAACAATACAAGGTCACGGGAAACAATACAAGGTCACGGGAACAATACAAGGTCACATGGAACAATACAAGGTCACGGGGAACAATACAAGATCAGAGGCAACAACACAAGTTTCGGCTGGACCGAAAGAAGCTAGAACAACAAAACTTTTTCTAGAACAAGTCAAGATAGAGCAATCGAAGTTCATTTAGAACTAAACCTAGTCATGACAGACCAATCAAAGTTCAGATAGACAAACCTAGTCAAGATAAACAAATCAAAGTTCATATAGAACTAAACCTAGTCAAGACAGACCAATCAAAGTTCATATATAAAGTTAAATTGACATAACACAAACATACTTGTTTCAGATCAATAGAATACTGTGACTAGAACAATTGTAACAACAAACAAGAGTGTTCACTCAAATGTGTACACTCAATACTACACTGAATGTGTACATTGTTGTACGTGTACACAAAATGTTGGAGCTTTTTTAACTTTCTGAATGGTGATTGGTTATCCTTGTCCCGATCAATCGATCGTTCAGTTCAGTATCGATTTCTGTTGAGGTGTGAGAATAAAGCCCGAGATTTTAAAACACGTCTGATTGGGGAACATTTTACCGAGGATTTAAAACACACCTAGTCAAATATATTACGTTAATTAGAATTTAAATTCGAGATTTTTAAAACACAACTATTTAAATATTTGTGAAGTGGAATTTTTAATCGAGATTTTTAAAACACACCTATTTAAATATATGTTAACTTGAACTTTGATACGAGATTTTTATGTCGAATCTGATCAAGTGGGCTAAAGAAGTCTAAATCACATATTCTTTGGTTTCTTTTATATACTGACATGCTATGACCATCTATAACATGGAGTCGTTGACTTGTTAGTTTGGTGTGACACAGTCATAATGATCTTTTCTCAGGTTACTACATGATAGTTGTGTGGTTGTGTGTGGTTTTGCTAGGTAATCGTGTGTGGTTGTGTGTGTTGTGTATGGTTGTGTTGTGTGGTTGTGTGTGTTCTGTGTGGTTGTGTTGTGTGGTCGTGTTTGGTTGCGTTTGGTCGTGTAGGTGGTAATCTCACTCTATATGTTGGTAACCACTGGAATCGACTCTAAAGTTTCAGGTGTTAAAAGTAGATATTTCAAGCTATAATCGATATAGAATATTTATGAATAAGATCGATAGATTAATACAGCAAGAAATAATGATGACGCAACCATATCATGCCCCCCTCCCCCACATTATTCAACAGCTCAGAGCGGCTCATCTATGAGCCAACAAAGAATCTCCCGTGAAGTGGGCCATCAATCGTATTGTCTTGTCAATCTGTTTCATCCAACCCGGCAACCAGCGCCTGCCTGGTGCTGATAACAAACGTTGGATGGGGTTGTCTTCCCTTAGTTGACCGCCCTGTTGGCCAGGTTTTTAATGTACCTGGGTTAGAGACCCGTAATGGCGGCGGTGGGGGTTAATTACGTCAATAAAACATTGTGTTAGTCTGTGTTCTTTAGGTGTTTGGCGTAATGCGGATGTACTGCTCTGTAACACTTTTGTTAAACACATACAATATAAGGGGGGGGGGGGGCGAGTGGTCATGGTGCTGAGGGGGGGGGGGGGGGGTGATGGATGGTGGTTGGTAGGGAGGGTGCGTAATGACGAGGTGGATTGTGGTGCTCTCTAAGAAGCACCCTAAGGTGGAGGGGGTTGTGTGCAACGATGACCTAGGCAGAGACGCCCTCTTCGTGGTGTGTGACACCCCACAACACCCCGCGACACCCCACAACACCCCACAACACCCTGCGACACCCCCACGATACCCCACAACACCTCAGGCACCCAATTACCGCGGGTGACAAGCGTGAATGTCCAGTGGGATCAACCCCGACTGACCGGCGATCCGGCTGGGGACATCTTCAAGCGGGCTTTACCCTTCCTCGTCCCACGTGACCTGTCACACGTGACAAGACACACAAACGTGACGATATTATCAAGCGTGACATTGTAGACCCGTCCCTCTCTGGGATCTCGCCTCCCCATCCCCTTTCCACCTATCCATTCTTTCACCCCCACCATTCTCCTTCCCCACCCCCTTTACTCCATCCGCACTCTCCCCCTTACACCCGTACCCTCCCCTTTCCACCTCACGATTCTCCTTCCCCACCCTCCCACTTCTACCTCACCATCCCTTCCACCCCATCATACTCCCTCCCCACCCTCCCCCCTCTACCCCACCCTCCCCCCTCTACCCCACCCTCCCCTTTCACCCCTACGATTCTCCCTCCTAACCCCTGAAGTTTTAGACTCCATTTTGGCAGCAACATTAAACTGCTCGACTTCTACGAGATTTGTTTTGATGCCCCAGGTAAAGAGGATAATAAAAGTGGGTTGAAGCTTTCTTAACAAGATTACGTAACTTATGAGCAAACGTCAAACATGATTACTACTTGTAACATTGTGATCCTGGGTTCAAAGCTTCTCGTGTTTAAGAAATTTTGGGACGGTGCAGGTGACCTATTTTTATCGTGATAAAAGTTCATAGGATTAACACACCAATCTGGTATTACTCGAGGTTTTTGATTTTTGTTTTTACTCTAAACAGGTACTGGTTAGGGCTGAGTGAGCTCAGCGGCTTGTGTCCAAAAATGGTTGACAGACTAGTGGTGGGGTATGGGAAAGTGCATGTTACAGGTAAGTCTACATTTAAAATAAGAATTTATGCAACAGATAAGTCTTTGGGTAAATGGTAAGAATTCACGTAGCAGTTAAGTCTTTGTAAAAGGTAAGTCTTCATGTAAAGATAATTCAGGAAATAGGCGTCTGCAGATAAAAGATCAGTGGGCAGGTGCAGGTCAAGTCTGCAGGTATGTGACAGGTATGTGACAGGTATGTGACAGGAATGTGACAGGTATGTGACAGGTATGTGACAGGTATGTGACAGGTGTGTGACAGGTATGTGACAGGTATGTGACAGGTATGTGACAGGTATGCTACAGGTATGTAACAGGTATGTGACAGGTATGTGACAGGTATGTAACAGGTATGTGACAGGTATGTGACAGGTATGTGACAGGTATGTGACAGGTATGTGACAGGTATGCTACAGGTATGTAACAGGTGTGTGACAGGTTTGTGACAGGTATGTGACAGGTATGTAACAGGTATGTGACAGGTATGTGACAGGCCAGTGACAGGTATGTGACAGGAATGTGACAGGTGTGTGACAGGTATGTGACAGGTATGTGACAGGTATGTGACAGACATGTGACAGGTGTGTGGCAGGCAGGTGAGAAAGCCACGACTCACCGTCCGTCCGTTTGGCCCAGTCTCCCAACTTTGTAAGACATGCCTGTGCATTTTTGAAGCCATAAAATTTCTGCATGGATGAACTTGTGTTGTTGGCTACATTGACAGGGATCTGGGAAAATTATTTGATCAGAAGGCGTTAATTTGTGGGGGAAATACGTGGGTTTGTTGGGGGGAAATGTTTGGCTTATTTGTTTGTGTAGGGGTGTGTTGAAATGGGGTGTGTTGAAATGGTTTGTGTTGAAATGGGGTGTGTTGAAATGGTTTGTGTTGAAATGGTTTGTGTTGAAATGGTTTGTGTTGAAATGGTTTGTGTTGAAATGGGGTGTGTTGAAATGGTTTGTGTTGAAATGGGGTGTGTTGAAATGGTTTGTGTTGAAATGGTTTGTGTTGAAATGGTTTGTGTTGAAATGGTTTGTGTTGAAATGGGGTGTGTTGAAATGGTTTGTGTTGAAATGGGGTGTGTTGAAATGGTTTGTGTTGAAATGGTTTGTGTTGAAATGGGGTGTGTTGTATTGGCTTGTGTTGAAATGGTTTTTGTTGAAATGGGGTGTGTTGAAATGGTTTGTGTTGAAATGGGGTGTGTTAAAATGTGTAGGAATAAAAAGTGGTTTTCTTTTAGTCAAAAATAATGATTTCGTGGGGTCAATTTAGATCTAGATCTAGGTTTTGTATTAAAAATATTTGACTCATTAAAAAATAAATTGCAACAATGAAAACAAATTTGGTATTTCAGTGTAAAAAAAAGATTTAGTTGACAAAACTTCCAATATATAGGACACACAACAACAGTCGTCACAACAGCTTTGTGTATTGAATAGCTTTCTAAATATAGCTGTTCTAGTACATAACGGGATACGCTCTTTTTGTATTTATTTTTATGGTGTTTTTACTACTATGCATGTTTAATTCTAATGCGCATTTTGTTTCTATTTATAGCCGCACATCTCGTGTCGTGCATAATGAGCTCGGGAGTCACGTGCTACATCTGACGTAAATCGCATTAGCCTGTCAGAAGAATAAGTAAAGATAGCACAACACGCTATTGACGCTTCTAGTTACTTATTCATCATCCTCTACAACTCCACAAATACGTGGCTGAATCAAACAAAATAGCGTAGGCTTGCAACATCTACGTCCATAATTTTAGTCAGTTTGTCATCTGAACAATAATTAAACTTTTTCTTTTTTTTTCACTAGAGTACTAAGATGGACTTTTTTTTGGGTTATTTTTATTACCTTCTCAATTAAAGCTATATGTGTTCTCTCCCCTTACATAATTACACCCAGTCGGTAAGAGTTCTCTAACCTTGTGATGACAGCGCTATCGAGCGAGAACAAAGGGAGGTTACTGCCAACCCTCTCTTTCATTAGCTGGGGTGGATTAAAGGGAAAGAACTCTGAGCGAAAGTTCCGGAAGCTGACTTTGTATTTACCAGACCATGACGAGGGTAGGCTATGCATTGAGGATTAGTTGCCAAATTGGTCAATAATGCTGTCCAGATTTCGTCGTATTTACTACATGAACTAGAGGATTTGAATGGGATTACTAAAAAAACCCAAAGAAAACAAATTATTTAATTAACATTGTTAGTCCGATTTCTTTGTGTAATCTACTAGCACTTTACTTTGGAGAAGACTTTCTATTTAAAAAACGTAATATTTTAAATAAACATTCTAGAATTAACTTAATGCTTTCAACATGCTGTAACATTAAGTAAAATACTTTTGGAATAAGTAAAAATACTACAGCGTTCGTGTCTTGGAACTGCACGTAGTATGGCGTTCGAATCTTGGCATATCTACAAATACTGTGGCGTTCGTATCTCGGAATAACAACAAGAGTTTGTACAAGTTCAGAAGTTCAATTATAGCTTACAAGTGTGTGAACATGTGTGCATGTATGTATGTATGTGTGCGTGCGTGTGTGTGTGGTGTATGTGTATGTGCGTGTGTAGCTAGACACATACAGCGACAACACAAACACAGCCACAAACAACACCACAGAACCAGGAACAAGAGCAGCCACAAAAGAATTTCAAACAGAACTTACCGTATAGTCGAATGACAATGTTCTGTTCTCTGCCTGCAGAAGATCAATATAACAAGAGTTAGCGTTCGTTGGTCTATACACAAGCAAAACATTAATTAAACATAAGCGCCGTAGACATTGGCGTTTGGTTAAGGTTAATGTTATAGTAGGGTCGTTTGTTCCGGTTGTAATTCTTCATAGAGCTCTCAAGAATGCGTGATACAAAAATTATAAGAAAACTGAAAAAAATGTTTAAACCTACTATCCAGAGATGGCTGTTAAAAGTACCATCTAGACATACACAATATACCTACCAACAAGACAGGTGAGATATACCTACCATCTAGACAGGTGATATATATCTACCATCTATACACGTGAGATATACCTACCATCTAGACAGGTGAGATATACCTACCATCTAGACAGGTGAGATATACCTACCATCTAGACAGGTGAGATATACCTACCATCTATACAGGGGAGATATACCTACCATCTAGACACGTGAGATATACCTACCATCTATACAGGTGAGATATACCTACCATCTAGACAGGTGAGATATACCTACCAGCAGGTGAGATATACCTACCATGTAGACAGGTGAGATATACCTACCATCTAGACAGGTGAGATATACCTACCATCTAGACAGGTGAGATATACCTACCATCTATACAGGTGAGATATACCTACCATCTGTACAGGTGAGATATACCTATCATGTAGACAGGTGAGATATACCTACCATGTAGACAGGTGAGATATACCTACCATGTAGACAGGTGAGATATACCTACCATCTAGACAGGTGAGATATACCTACCATCTAGACAGGTGAGATATACCTACCATCTAGACAGGTGAGATATACCTACCATCTAGACAGGTGAGATATACCTACCATGTAGACAGGTGAGATATACCTACCATCTAGACAGGTGAGATATACCTACCATCTAGACAGGTGAGATATACCTACCATCTAGACAGGTGAGATATACCTACCATCTAGACAGGTGAGATATACCTACCATGTAGACATGTGAGATATACCTACCATCTAGACAGGTGAGATATACCTACCATCTAGACAGGTGAGATATACCTACCATCTATACAGGTGAGATATACCTACCATCTAGACAGGTGAGATATACCTACCATCTAGACAGGTGAGATATACCTACCATCTAGACAGGTGAGATATACCTACCATGTAGACAGGTGAGATATACCTACCATCTAGACATGTGAGATATACCTACCATCTAGACAGGTGCTATGTCTGTTTATTTCTCTCACCTAACATGGACAGCGCCGATCAATATCTAACTAATTATTTAATGACAAATTATCCAATTAAGTGGAGACAAATCCTGCAGTGCCGTGTCACCACAGCGCTAATCTGTGCCGCCCGCCGACAGACCCGCGCGGACGTCAAAGGAAACCACACACCCAGCATGGCGCGGACGTCAAAGGAAACCACACAGACCCAGCAGTTCCTCTGGCTCCAGTTCCCGTCATGCTTCAGTACACACGACACAACGATCACACCTACAACAACAATCAATCACCTGGCGATTGATTCGATCGATGACAGACGTTTATGTGCGATAAATAGCAGACACAATCAACGGCGGGGGGCTCACGTGTTGGTGCCCGTCCTGCTCACTCAAGCATGCAAACACACAGCGCCCCCAAAACTTAGTGACACGTGACTTGCATTGACACGTGACGGACAATCTCGGAGTAAGCTTAACTCTGTCAACATTAAAGGCAACACTCAAATCTGATAGTTACAGAAAGATCAACTCTACTTCCTCTGTATAAGCACATTCTTCAACTAGTTGCTCGTGGCAAAGTGGCTTCAAAGTACTAACTGTTGAACATTTTCCTGTTACGCACACACTTACACACACACACACTCACACACACACACATATATATATATATATATATATATATATATATATATATATATATATATATATATATATATATATATATATATAGTGATTCTAAATATGGACATGTAGCTGACACCACTCTACATGATAGATGTGTGTCAGTTAAACTCTACATGACAGATGTGTGTGAGTTAAACTCTACATGACAGATATTTGTGAGTTAAACTCTACATGACAGATGTGTGTGAGCTAAACTCGGCATGACAGATATGTGTGAGCTAAACTCTACATGATAGATGTGTGTGAGTTAAATTGCCGTGTCAGAAAGATTCATCGCGGTTGTTCAGCCATGGAGGATGATATAAAATGGGGGGAAATGTTTTCAGAAGATATGGAATGCGCATGTCATACAGGGAGATGATACTTGTCAGATACGTCTATTATGCTGATGTGGAGGAATAAAAAGTAAGAGAAACGTTTAAATTTTCTTTTTTTAGGGGGTGGGAAGGGATGGGGTGTGTGGGTCGGGTCGAGATTTTGGTTGCAGAAAACGATTCATGATGAGAAGGAAGGGGGGGGGGGGTAGGGTGAGATCGTTAACTTCTGAACACGCTTCTCACCGCGAGATAATCGCCCTTGTCAGATTCTCGCCAGATGACCAGATCTTCTCGCCAGATAGTCGCCAGAACCTTTACCCCCCCCCCCCATGCCCCACACCCCCCCCCATAACTCAGCTCCCATGGAAAACTGACCGACATGAAAGCTGGACATTTACAGAGACACTAAAGTTTTCTTTTAGTTTGTGACAGGCGGCAGATTGGGAACTTCCATTCAGATGCATAGTACTGTTCTTGAAAGAATGAACTTGAAATGATACAAGAGGAATCGACTTTATCTAGGCTCATGTATCGATACTAGGAATATGAACGTGAACATCGCCATCTGGTGTGTGGTATCGTTGAGGCGATATAAAGTACTCAGCCAAATATTGGGTCAGTACTCACTCGGGCAGCGATCCCACAGATCTCTGCGTGATTGAGAAAGTTCGATCTCCTTAATCGATACTATAATTTGGTTTTAGGTGGAGATGTTTTGGGTTAAACAAACTGTCCGATTGTTTGCTGTTGTAGCCGGTTGTAGCCGGTTGTGAGCCGGTTGTAAGCCCGTGAGCCGGTACTGTAGATAAATGTAGTGGTCTGATTTCAGTAGAGTAATGTACTGGACTATAGTGATCAGATTTCTGTAGAGAAATGTAGTGGTCGGATTTCTGTAGAGAAATGTACTGGTCAGATTTCTGTAGAGAAATGTAGTGGTCGGATTTCTGTAGAGAAATGTACTGGTCAGATTTCTGTAGAGAAATGTAGTGGTCAGATTTCAGTAGAGAAATGTAGTGGTCAGATTTCTGTAGAGAAATGTATTGATCAGATTTCTGCAGAGAAATGTAGAAGTCAGATTTCTGTAGAGAAATGTAGAAGTCAGATTTCTGCAGAGAAATGTATTGATCAGATTTCTGTAGAGAAATGTAGTGGTCGGATTTCTGTAGAGAAATGTAGAAGTCAGATTTCTGTAGAGAAATGTAGTGGTCGGATTTCTCTAGAGAAATGTAGAAGTCAGATTTCTGCAGAGAAATGTATTGATCAGATTTCTGTAGAGAAATGTAGAAGTCAGATTTCTGTAGAGAAATAAAGTGGTCAGATTTCTTTAATTAGATGTACTGGTCAGATTTTATAGAAAAAATGTACTCGTCAGATTTCTGTAGAGAAAAAATGTACTATACAGATCTCGCATTGAATTGCGTTATGAGATTTAGTTATTCAATAACACGGCAGGTAATGTTAGTTAGTCCTGCAGGTGTTAGCTACAGCAGATGTTGATGCACCCACGTGCTAGCTACACCTGCTGATGATGTAAGCACCAGCTAGATGCGCGTGCAGCCGTGACGGACCAGACCTAAGTACTCACGTCTGCTTCGTGTTTTCATATCCCAGTCAACCACAAGCTGACTTAAGAATCTGACTTGTTGTGACTGACTTTAGTTAGCCCGACACCTGTGTAAGCGAAGATTTTCCTGTTGACAGTAACACGTCTACCTGCCTGTTACCTGTCTGTCTAATCTCAAGTCACCTGGTCAGGTCACCAGGTACAAAAACATTACGGTTTTTTTTTAATTCCGATATTTCAATTCACCCAGAACTGACTTGAAATTACACCATAGCAATATAACATGGTCGAAAGTTCTAGAAACATTGTTTACTTAACTAATTCAAAAAATAATTCTCCGCATTAAAACGTTTGAAATCGAATTAGTTTTGACGTAGTTCTAGCAGTCTAAAATGATCTATGTCACCACCCAGCAGTCTTTAGTGGGCGGGTCTAGCACTTACGTCTGTTTTGATTCAAGTCTGGGCGACTCTTTTTTTTATCAATTCTAGGACTATTTTTAGCTCGAGTTTTTATTCGCTTCATTGCAACTAGCTGGTAATTTACAAAAGCTATTTTTAACAATTATATTATCTTTAATATTGTGATAGACTTTTACAAGCGGGAACGATTCTAGTAGATTTACACTTTTAATTAATTATTCAACTTTATATCACACCTTTCACTAAACCACATTAAATATTTTATATATATATATATATATATATATATATATATATATATATATATATATATATATATATATATATATATATATACATATATATATAAATATATATATATATATATATAAATATATATATATACATATATATATATATATATATATATATATATATATATATATATATATATATATATATATATATATATATATATATACATATATATACATATACACACATATATATATATATATATATATATATATATATATATATATATATATATATATATATATATATATATATATATATATATATATATATATATATATATATATATTTCATGAACCTAACGATAGATACTATTACTAAGCTCTGCCCAGTGCCATAGTGCCAGTACCGCCATGGTTGCCCATGGTTACAAAGAACACAAGATGCTGCGTCAATCGAGATCTCACGAGGTCAGAAATAGAAGTCGCCGTTAGCGAGATCTAAAAATAGCTTTTAATTGTTTCGCTTTTCTAACAG